AGAAATACATTTGGGGGTAAAATATTTTTCATTTCCTTCAGTGGCAAAAAACAAAGAAGCAAAACTCCCCCCTTCCCCAATTCCTCCGTTGAATCTCTGGAGAGCAACTGAGTATATCATACTTTATTTCTCTATAGTTGTGGTTCTTACTGCACAATTCGATAAGATGAATTGTTTCCTGAACATTCTGGTGCCACTAATCTTCCCTTATAGAAACAACCTAAAGAGAAAGAAGCTGCTCAACTACATTCTCTTTAGTCAATCATTTCTGCCCCTTGGAAAGATTCATAACCATTAAATGGGCTCCAAGCAGTTCCACAAAGTTTTCTGTTTATTGTGCAAGAGATAAATTAGTTCAGCTTCACAATAATGTATGTCTATGGTAGAATATGATTCATTTTCTAGCACTGAAAGGAATCCTATTTATTCTATATTTATTTCAAATGCTGGGATTTTTATTGATTGTGAAACTAAAGTTCATTCCCCGCAAAAATGGAAGGTAGTCAGTCAGATGGGTAGGTGAAGTCAATTAGAGAGGGATCACTGCTGATTCTCTTTGCCCTTTCTGAGCTATATACCATTTTGTAAAGTGGGATTGCCTAAAGGTCAGGGTCACGAAGAACTAAGTCCACCTAGGAGACTATGGTGGCATTTCTCTTACAATTTTCTTTAGTTCTTTGATCACTACAGGCTATAAGTTTTCAGTTGCAAAAATCTGTATGTACAGAAGGATTCTTTTATCTCACTCTATCTCCCTGACAACCAGATATTTGCCTGCTGTGATAGGTCAGAGGTTCTTAAAAGGCATGGAATACATCTCATCTCTTTTAAAGGTTTCAAAATTCTCCTTTTGTGTCTGGCTTGAAAAGGAGTTACCAGTAGAGAGTCAAGATTATCCAGCTAACAGTAGTGTGTAATCAAGTAGGGGAAAAAAATTAAGATCTTATCTAGAAAGAATTTGCCAAATCATATAGGTAATCGGAAGTATTTCGACATGTGAGAAAATAGAGAGGGAAATGGGGAATGATTGGTAGTAACGTTTACATTCTAAGATAGAAGTTAATTTTTGCCTAAAAAAAGGGAGTTAGTATGAGCCAGATCAGCTCAATTTGCTTTCTAGGCAAAAGGAACCCTAAGGTGATAAAAATCAAAGTATTCTTATACTATAAGTTAAGGATATCTATCATAGACAACTTATGAGCCAGATCAGCTCAATTTGCTTTCTAGGCAAAAGGAACCCTAAGGTGATAAAAATCAAAGTATTGTTATACTATAAGTTAAGGATATCTATCATAGACAACTTACGTTGTTTAACACTTATAGAGCATTTAGAGTTTGGAAAAACAGAAAATATATTTTTATACGTTCCTTAATTTGAATTAGCTAGTGTACGCTTCTATCTTATACGTCATTCTCTCTCTGACAGCTTCTAACATATTCAATTTCTCTTAAACACATGTAGTTATAGAGAACTTGGTACTTCTTCAAACTCATTCATTAAGCAAGATGGCAATATTCTTTAATTTGTTGAATGAATTGAAAGGCAAGTCTTATTTATGTTTTCATTTTCCCATCCTTACAGTATGCATCTCAAGCCTTGCCACCTTGTAAAACATCTACGTGTATGTGTGTGTGTGTGTGTTTAAATTCACTATAGAATGATTTTATTTATTAGAGGATTTCTCCTTTTTCTAACCTAAAGTTACTCTTCTTAATAACTCAAATTACTATTAATTTACCACTCAGAGGCATAAAGAATAATCCTAAGTAATATCAACATAATGACCCTTCAAGTATTTGAAAATGTGTGTCTTTCCTTGCCTTGATCTTCTTCATTCCATCTAAACACACTCAGTAATTGTAGTGGTTTCTTATTTTTGACTTTGGTAATATTTTATCATTCTAGTCTTGCAGCAAGTTGTCTTTTCTTGAGTCTGATTTCTTTAACAAAACACAGTATTCAAGCTTTAGGCTGATCAAAGGAGCATCATTGGGCGATCGTCTCTCTTTTTTTCAGATATAACATTTCTAGACATCTGCATCACCCATTTCTTTTAAGGGGTCACACTTCTCAAGTAAAATCTCTCTTAATTAACTCAATGTCAAGTGATTAGGGACCCTAATTATATCTGCACAACTTATGTTGCCATAAAACTTAATAAGTTTATGTGAGTGAGATATCATTTAATTTACAGGCCTCTCACACAATCAATGGCAGAGTCATTGCACACAGAGTATAGGTCATTGGGGGCAGGAATATTGGGAGCATCTTAGAATTCTGCCTGCTGCAACTATCATTTTTTCAAATTCCTCAAAATATCTATAACCATAGCTATCCGTTTCCACTCAACATTATCTGGAAGCGTGAGGAGCCCTGGAAGAGCCCAGGCAGCTATTCTCTTATAATTTATGCCAAAAATTGCTTATTTCCCTTTGAAATGAGAAAATCCTTTGGCACTTAACATTTCATTTAGTTTTTTTGTGACCTGGGCTTCAACAAAGTAAGAACAGAGAAAGTGGTGCTGTAATACCCCAATGGGCTCTTCCTGCCCATTGCACAGACAAAACCAATTCACTGAGACCACGGGACTGCAGTAAAGAGCTTACCTGACACTAGGCTAGCCATGCAGAAGATAGAGTTGTTACTCAGATCAGTCTCCCTGAAGGTCCAGAGGTTAAAGTTTTTCAAGGATAGTTTGATGGGCAAGGGACTAGCAAATGGGTGCTGCTGATTGGTTGGGGATGACATCTTAAGGGTGTAAAACATAGTCCCCCCATGCTGAGTCCATCTCTGGGCAGGGAGCCATAGGACTTTTTGAGTCATATGCCACAAATCTGGGTGGGGTTAGAGTGAAAAACATCTCAAAAGACCAATCTTACATTCTGCAATAGTGATGTAATCTGTAGGGGCAATTAGGGAAGTTACAAATCTTGTGACGTCTAATCACATGATTCTTGAGCAGTAAGAGATTATAGAAACTACCTATGTTTTAGCAGAATTCAGGCCACTGTCATAATTCTAATCTTGTGGCCTTTCTTTAGTTTTACAGACGTGGTTTTGGCCCAGGAACAAGGAGGGGATCAGTTATAGGGAGGGACTATTATCATCCTTGGTTCAAAGTTAAAGTATATAGTAATCAAAGGCCATATGATCAACCATCGCATCTTATGCGTACTATTCTTTGCTTATATAGGTATTAAGAGAAATCAAAATTTCTAACAGGGGAAACATGAAAATGAAAGGAGATCAATATTATAAGTTAACAGGTATGAGGTGAGCAAATTAAAATATAGAGAGATAAAAAGAAAGCATTGATTACAAAGCAGGTAAACACATGAATAAAAGTACGATAAATAAAAGGAATACCTATAGGGAATTAATAAATATAGTTCCTGCTGCATAAAAAAGTACGGTGAAAGAGAATGATGTCATATTCAAGTGAAATTGCTATTTTGTTGCAATAAATTCCATGAAATTGTGAGAGTTTTTGAAGATTTAAAACTGATTTTTTTTTGTTTTTGTTCCTCAGAGGAAACGCATAAAACAATCATATCTTAGAAGGAGAACAATATCCTTCCTTTATTTTCCCCAGGTGTACTACAGTAAAGGAACAGGTACTGACACTGCAATTAGCAACTCATTGGAGTCAGACTTGAGGAAATTCCTTTAGAAAACAGAAATTTTTAAAGGTCCTAGAAAATCACTATGTTAATGTTAAATTTGTGCTGTCTCAGATTTTCTTAGATGATGAGAGGCCAGTGCCATTGACCTTAAAATTATCACTTAAACAAAGCACCACAGCAGCACCATATTTCAGGAATAGCATATTTTCAGTTATTGCAGACATAAAATTAATATTTACAGTGAGGGTGCAAGTAAGCAGTGATAAGCTAAAATTGAGCATCCGTGACTCCATAGAAAATGACTTCCTATATTATATTATGTTTCACAGCCTTTTCTAATTTGGTCATATATATTAATATTGAAAGCCCCAATTCTTGGTAATGTGTATTGATGATGTGTTACAGTGCCCATAATTTATATATACGGTTCTGAGAACACACAAAAAGCAAAACTATTTTTAAATTAGCAATATGTATGCTTTTAAATACTGATACAGACATTTACTAGTTAAAAAAAAAAAAAAAATGACGTAGACATCCAAAAGTGTTTAATATAAGATGCCATAAAATAAGACAATAAAATATGGAGTTTTCATGGGACCACTTTTCCAATACCAAATTTGCAGCTAGAATCTGGAATATCTTCAATGATCCTACTTCATTTTTATTCAGTTTTTTTTTTTTTAATCATTGCTTTATTCCACTAGATGTCAGTATTGGATAAGAGCAGAGAAATGCTTCCCTGAACATCTGTTCTCTTGCTGCTTTAACTTTGCTCATATAAAATGATTAAGCCCTACCTAGCATGTATGTCTGCATGTAAATGATGTGATTTTTAAGAAAAAAAACAAAAAACATTTGCAACTGATGATCTTTACAAATTACCCAGAAACTTGTACATGGAGGTGATTCTTTTCTTAAAATGTTTACCTTGCGCCTGTAATCCCAGCACTTTGGGAGGCGGAGGTGGGTGGATCACCTGAGGTCAGGAATTCGAGACCAGCCTGGCCAACATGTTGAAGCCCTGTCTCTACTAAAAACACAAAAATCAGCCGGGCATGGTGGCGCGCGCCTGTAATCCCAGCTACTCAGGAGACTGAGGCAGGAGAATCGCTTGAACCCCGGAGGAGGCGGAAGTTGCAGTGAGCCGAGATAGCGCCACTGAGCTCCAGCCTGGGCGAGAGGAAGAGGCTTTCAAAAAAATAAAAAAAATAAAAATTCCTCGTACTACCCTTACCCACTAATTATGAAGAAAAATGAAAATTTTAAACCAATACAATTGGTAATAACTTGCAAATTGCTCTGAAGTAATGTTGACCCTTTCTGTCACATTCTACATAAATGTACTCCTTATTCTTAATTTGTCCTCGCTACAGCCTTTAGATTTTGAAACAAAGAAGGCATACACTTTCAAAGTTGAGGCTTCCAACCTTCACCTTGACCACCGGTTTCACTCGGCGGGCCCGTTTAAAGACACGGCGACGGTGAAGATCAGCGTGCTGGACGTAGATGAGCCGCCGGTTTTCAGCAAGCCGCTCTACACCATGGAGGTTTACGAAGACACTCCGGTCGGGACGATCATTGGCGCTGTCACTGCTCAAGACCTGGATGTAGGCAGCAGTGCTGTTAGGTGAGAAAAGGAAACATTTTCTTTTCTACGTCTCAGGAAAACAAAACAAAACAAGAACAAAAACAAGAAAACCAATTCTCTGTCCAAAACTGCATGATGATTTAATTATAGAATATGATGCTTGAAAACATAAAACTTTACATAAGAATAGAGGAAGTGCTGTAGGATTTTGGGGGTAAATACCTTATCAACTATTGCAACAATGTTTACTAGTGGCGTTACAACCACTAGAGGTCTGATTCTCCTGTCACTCAAGGTAACAAATCTCAACTCTTCATGTAGAAATGGGATTTAATAATATGACCTTTTAGAGAATGATTCTCATAAATAGTGATATTAAGATACTTTGGAAGTGCCTAGAGTATAATAGACATTAATACATTTTATAAATAGTCTAAACTTTCTGACCCCTTACCCAAAGTTAGTGTTTGAAAAAGTTATTGCAATTTGCATGTCATTTTTCCAGTGTGTAAAACATGTCTGCTGGGTTTGAGGTGAAAAGAGTAGAGGCACAGTTAGAGTCAGTCCTAGAGTAAAATGAATTTATGAAATTGCTCAAAGCACACACTTTGCAAGGAACTGCTTCCTGCTCATCTCTCTCCCACTCTCTCAACACATAAATTCCACTAGTACTATCAAGACAATGCAATTTCCCTTTTCCTCACTTATACATTGACCCAGCAGTATGTTTTGAGACTTTTTTTTCCCCATTCATTCTATTGTATGCTTGAATTTTCTGCTGCATGCCTACAGCTGTTGGGAAACGGATTAAAAGACAAGTATGAGATTTGTTTCTGAATCTTCTGTCCCTAAATGATTGAAGCTTGGTATGCAAGAACCAAAATAAGAAAACATTAAGTAGGTTTTTAAAGCAAAACACTCTCTTCTATTGACATACAACAGACAAATATCTTGTAAGATTTTACACCATGTGGTAAGTAAAGATTAAAACAATGGATCAAGTTTTCAGTGGTATCCTTAACACAGTAATTGCATATAGTGAAATCTCACGAAATGACTTGACAGCATATGCAACTTGCTCTTTGAATTTATCTGAATCCATCACCTATAGTTACATGAATACTATCTCAGTCAGCTCTAGCTGCTATAATCCATTAATGCATACTGGATGTATTAGTCTGCTTTCACACTGCTATAAAGAACTGCCCTGAGACTGGGTAATCTAAAAAGTAAAGAGGTTTAATTGACTCGCAGTTCCACATGGCTGGGGAGGCCTCCGGAAACTTACAATCACGGCGGAAAAGGAAGCCGGCGAATCTTACATGGCGGCGCACAAAAGACAACATGTGAAGGAGGAACCGTCAAACACTTATACAATAATCAGATCTTGTGAGAGCGCACTCACTATCATGAGAAAAGCATGGGGGAACCACCTCCGTGAGTCAATCACCTCCTACTAACTAGGACCCTCCTTCAACACGTAGGGTTTATAATTCGAGATGAGATTTTGGTGGGGACACAGAGCCAAACCATATCGCTGAGTGACTTAAGTTACAAACACAGTTCTGGAGGCTAGACAGTCCGAGATCAAGGGACCAGCTGATCTGGCGTCTTGTGAGGACCTGCTTCCTTTTCAGCAGGTGGTCATCTTCTCCTTGTTTCCAGACACTGGAGAAAGAGAAAGACAGCTCTCTCTATAGTCCCTTTTGTAATGGTAAAAATAACTTCATGAGGGCTCCATCCTGATGAACTAATTACCTCCCAAATGCCCCATCTTTTAATACTATCACATTGAGGTTTAAGATTGCCAGATGTGAATTTTGGGGGGGGATACATATCAGCTCATAAGATTCCAATTCTGCCCACCCCAAATTTATGCCTTTTTTACATGCAAAGTGCATCCATCCTAAGAGCCCCAAAAGTCTCAACTTCTTCCAGTATTAACTCAAATCCAAAGTGTCATCTAAATATTATCTAAACCAAACAAATGTGAGACAAAAGGTACAGTTTATCCTGAGGCCACATTCCTCTCCAGCTGTGAATCTGTGAAACCAAATAAGTTACGTATTTCCAAAATACAATGGTGAAGATATTCGTATTCCAAGAGGGAGAAAGAGGAAAGAAGAGAGGGGTGAGACATCCAATGTAAGTCCAAATCCTAACAGTGGAAACTCCATCAAACCTTAGTGTCAAACATAATTTTTCTCTAGATCAATTCTTCACTTTGCAGGTCCACTAGAATGGATGTCCCACTTTTGGACTCACTAGGGTGGCAGCATAACCTCCCACACTCAGAGGGGCACCACCCAGGCTGTGGCTCTCTGCAGTAGCACTCATGTGCAGTGGTCACACCCTCAGTGCTCCATTGGGCGACTCTACCCCAATGTCTCTTCTAGGCATTGAGCCCAATGTTTGAAATCATTATGGAAGCAGCCATTCCACAAGCCTGGTGACATCAAATCACTATTGGGGTGATTTGGAATTCTTCCCTTGATTTGGAGAATTATGAATGCTCATAGCTGAAGAGTTATGTGATGCTGTTTAACGGAGCTGAAGAAATTTGATGATCTTCTTTCATTTTACCGCATTTCTCTTTCCTTCGGTACCAGCTGGCAGTGTTTCTGCTATTATAATCTCATCTGTTTTCCTGGCTTTTTCTGAAATAGTGGATGAAGTTCATGGTTCGCACCTATACAAATCTTCTTACTAAGTAATTGGTCTATCTATCAACCCTTAATGTTCTCTTCTAAACACACTTTCTCATTATTTTGGAACACAGATGGGTTGAGATATTTCCAAGTTCTTAAGTTTTGGTTTCTTTTTACTTAAAAAATTCATCTTTGTTTAATTTCTTTTATTTCACATTTTACTGTAAGGAGTTGTGAGGAACCAAGCTACTCCTTTAACACTTTGCTTAAAAATCTTCCCAGCTAAATATCTAATTTCATCACTCTAAAGTCCTTCTTTACACAAAATACTAGAACATGAACACCACCCACCTAAGTGCTTTGCCACTTTATGACAAATACTATCTTTCCTCTAGTTTCTAATAACATGTCTTTATTTCTCTCTGATAACATATCAGAATGGCTTTTACATCCATATATCTACCAACATTCTGTTTAGGATTGTTTAGATGTTCTTTGGGAAGACAGAGTCTTTCTCTACAGTTCTCTTTTCTCTCTGAACCTTTAACTGAATATCCTTGAACATTCATAATTTTAGCACTTCAAAACTCTTCCAGCCTGTATCCATTACCCAGTTTCATAGCCACTTCTACATTTTTAGGTATTTTTTTATAGCTGCACCCCTACTGCTTGGTACCAATTTCTGTCTTAGTCACTTAAGGCTGCTATAACAAATTACGGTAGATGGAGTAGCTTCAGCAGCAAACATATATGTCTCTTGTTTCTGGAAGCTGGAAAGGTTATGATCAATGTGCCAAGAGATGCATTTTCTAATAAAGGCCTGGTTTCTATTCTGCAGAAAGTCATGTTCTTGTATCCACACAGCAGAAAGAGAAAGAGAGCTGTCTGGTGTCTCGGTTAGAAGGGCACTAATCCTATGTATGAGGACTCCACCCTCATGACCTCATTACCCCCACGAAGGCCCATATCCATATATCATGCATTGGACATTAGGATTTCAACATATGAATTTTGGGGAAACATAAACATTCAGTCCATAACAAATACTTTTATTCTTGAAGAGAACCTGTAATCAGGAGAAAACTCTAAAAAAGCTCATCTGTCTTTTAAAAAGAAATAAGTATAACAATTACTGAACACCCCTACATTTCAGACTGAATGCTAAACAGTTTACTCACTGGATTCAAACTATTGTTTTCCATGTCTATATTACAACATGATTCACTTCCAGTTAAGTTCCAGAAAACCATATATGATTTATAAGGCTATATGCAGACACACACACACACACACACACACACACACACACACACATCCACATATACATTCAGTATTTGTTGAGGTATTCTCCAAAATCTCCTGCGTTGGTAATTATTATGTATTACCCTAACATTATTTATCAGTCTTTTATTTCTGAAGCCCTTGGATGTTCTGTTGATAATTACAAAAGTAGGAGATGCCTGGTAAATGGATTTACCGGTTTTTAAAAATATGAACAGTTATTGAAGGAATATTGAAGGTTGTAACAAAAATAATTAAAAGGTAAATAAGATTAATTGAAACTCTCTGCAGGTCAATAAATAAGAATTTACATAGAGAAACTAAGTATCTAGAGTAGAGAACATGCTATGTTGTTTAATTTACTGTATGTTCTATTTTTAAGACTTATAAAAGAATGATGAGGCCAAAATATTAAGAATAACATGATTTTAATGCAATACTTAAGAACTAGAAAAATCAAAGTTCCTAAGTAAAAAACATTATTAGGTGAAGATACACCTTCCAAATTCAAGAGAATTGTTAGAGTCAGGACCCTGGTGTGAGGAACAAAGGAAGGTTAACATGAAAGAAATTCTCCTGCTATAAGTGTGTTTTTTATTTTGTACTTTTTATGTCACAGTAGCTAGTATCTGACAAATGCTACTTTATATCAAATAAAGTAGTGTACCATGTCTTACTTCTAATGAGTAGCAGTCGGCCCACTTGACACAGATGAATCTAATTGATCCCCGCAAGGGCTTGTCAAAAGACAGAGCTGTTTTTGAATCAACTGAAACCTGTCTTTGTTCCATGTCCTTGGAGTGAACAATAAAGTTGAATAATGTCAGCTAAGGAAACATGGGGTATGAGGCATCATCTTTCCTTGTTCTGAAAATGTGTTTACTCACTTAAGAATGAGAGTGAAAAAACGTTGTGAAAACTAAGAATGAAAGTGTAAAATTACTTGACATGTTTAGATATGCTGTTTGTTTTGTTTTCCTTTACTTAATTATCTTTTCACAGAGTTATTATGCAAGGTATTAATTTAGGACCTTGGGTATTTTATCATCATCATCATCATCATCATCATCGTCTTCATCATCATCATCATTATCATCACTAAGCACAGCC